AGTCAATACGTTGATGCGAAATCAAGGCAGCAGACAAACACCGGAAACTGCGAGTACATGGCCGTTGTCTGAGCATGAGATCACAGAACCTACTCCGTAGATGCTAGCCGGACACACATCCCAACGCCTTCAATTCAACATCACACGCCAACACGACGACATCCAACACGCACCTGAACATCTCGCCCAAGCACCGCAAGCCGTTCGTCTGTACCACCGACCGCCTGTTGGACACAGCGTCCGCCACGAGAGACACCAGCCGTCCGATCAAGCCCGGACCTCCATTCTCTCCCCCGAACATGTCGCGATGGTGCAGCACAAGCGTCCTCGCGGAGCTCACGGCGGCGAACAAGCTCGCCCAGTCGGTCACACCGGAGCGTATTCGCACGGCCTGACGAGGGTGGAGGTATCATGAGCCCGCGTCGTTTGCATGATGTGAAAGGCAACGTAGAGGATGTTTGCGAATAAGGTTGACGTACACGGGGGTAAGCCTATTTTCGTCTGTAGTTCAGTATTCTGAAGAACGAGGAGATCGAGTCGATTGCAACCCGTCAAGTATGATATGATGTCCTTTCGACGGTAGGGTCGTCTGGTTGCAACACCCGGCGGATTCAGCACATGCTTTCAACCACCCACCCCGCCCTGCAAAGAAAAGCGATGGGGCCTTCACGTGTGGTTGTACATCCTCAAAGTACGTCCCCAAACGGAGATCGAATAGGAGGTCACGCTGTTGCAGGGTCGCGGCATTCAAAGCAAGAAACGGACCAACGCCCCAACCCACAATTGGCTCGGTATGGCGCAACCTCCAACATGGAACACGTACACCGTAAGCGAGAGTGGAGTTGCTGTCATACCGATCCTACCAGCCCAACAGTCGGAAACGAGGTCACTGACAGCCGGGCGGCGGTACCATCACTCGTTCATGCACACCTCGAGGTCTTTCGAGACGTCGACCGATGCCGGCACCTCGCTGCTCGTCAACGCCACCACGTCGAAGATCTCGCCCTGGGGGGCTCCGGCCATCTGCCTCTCTTCCGAGGACACCTGGGCAAACGGGCATTGGTCGAGGGGGGCAGAGCGTTCGTATGATAGGTGGGTGCAACGAATGCGAACGACAGGCACC